AGGTATAGTTTAAAGGGCAATGGAAAATCTCTGTACATGGCAATTACCATTCAATAGAATTACCATTAATAGAAGGTGTTGAACTAAAGTCCTAAGCAAGGAACTTGCAATCCAGAAGGAATTTAAATTCTTCCCTCAAAATATGCCCTGTATTCTTCCACTATGCATTGATGCATTTATACTTGTACAATTTAACATTTGCTTTTAACAAAACAAAAGATGACATTTGACTGCACAGGGAATTGTAACTGGAAACCTAGCTAAATTATTATAACACATGGCCAAACAGGTGTGTAATATTAAAGTCTGAAGTGTTACAGCTTTCAGAGACATACCTCTTGGAAAAAGCCTTTTAAGTATGTCAGATCAGTTTTTATATGCTCTTGTGTTTTATTTTCAGAGTAGCATTTGTGGCTGTGTATTTTCTTGCAGGCAGATACGGTTTTTTTGTCCAACAAGACATTCTATCCCTTACTTCCATCCAGCCACAAAGGTCACTGGGTTATCAAACATTCATATGGACAGAACTCATCAAAATGTGGGTCTCTAGTGACACTCATACCCACCAGCCTGCACATGGTCTGTTACTGCATCATTGGGTTATAGCAGTCCCATACATTAAGAAAAATTCTGTCTTGTCCTCCCTCTCTGCATTAATTTGAACATTCAAATTAGGCCAGAGCTTAAAATAATTCAATCTACTAAGGTTTTCAACAAAATATTTTAATTTTCACAACTCCATTATTTTATTTACTCTTCAAAAATGCTGGAATCATATTAGAAAAAGATTTATCTGAGTGGCAGGCAGAAATCATTACCCAGGCAGATAAGCCTATAAAGCATTAAAATTTATCTTAATACAAAATACAGGGCCTGGTTGTGGCACTCTCTGTATATTTGTCTAACAGACGTGTAACAGAGAAATGGTCCAAATGAGCTTAATAAATCTCTTTCTTAAACTCACAAAAGACCACATCCTCACTTCCATAATTCTATTAGAGTCTGCTCCTCTGGAGGAGATAAAAGAAGAGATAACCTCTCCATTCAGAATATAAAATAGCAATTGTTCAGCTGATGATTGGAATATTTCCAGTAGAAGGACTTAATTATGGAACAAAATTAGCTCAATCTGACCTTTTTAGAGAATAATGCAAAACTAAGTTTTTTGCAAATGTCTTCCAGAAATAAGGAATAATTTACTTCCCTTTTTTTTTTTCCACAAGAGCAAAAGGTAGCAGAACGTGCTAGTGGTGAGATGACAATCCAAGGATAATAATAAGACAGCATTTGCAGAAAGGTATAATATATTTTAATAGACTAGATGATGCAGCTTAAAAACAGAGAAGCTTTCAGACACACAAGCCTCTTTCAGCACGAGCAGGTTTCCCTCTGTGACTCAAAATTGCCAGTTTAATAACTAGATAGTGTAATGATTGGTATCCTAGGAATGCATAGAAATGTATGGTATCTGTATTAATTGCATACTGAAAGCTCTTCTTGGGATAAAGACAAAACATATTGTTCCAATCTCTGCTTTATCTAAGTGACAAATGGGAATAAGTACCTGTAACCACAGACTGACAGGCTGGGTATGATGCTGTGTGTAAAAGCATTTCTCTACAGGTGTTTAGTTCGATGAGTTTATCTGTACTGAGGCACTCCTTGCTAGAAATAAAACCCATCACAAACTGCAAAGAAAAATCTCATCTGTTTTATCAGTCCTATCTCTGATTTCATGACATTCTGAATGCTCCTAAGCCATGCTGATACTACTGCATACAGGCAAAAAAAAAGGCATGAACAGGTGGTGATATTAACAGGCTTCTTATGGTTCTGAAAAATGAGATAGAAATGTTTCATGTCATGAAAGTCAGCATCAATCATCATCCATCTTGTGCAGATATGGAAGTCAGCCAATGTGGTTCTTGCTGAGGAGGCGTGAGATATTTCTTTTGCATCGAAGCTGTTGCTCTGGACACAAGTCATAATTTGTCTAATATAGATGAATGAGGAGAATATTACTAATACAGCTTTTTTTTTTTTTTTTTTCAATAAACTGAAAGCTCCCCCTCCTGGCACATTCCCTGAACTGAATGCAAGGTTCCCGATCTCGACTTTCAGCAACAGGAGACATTACCTCTAAGAGCCTTTTCACAAAGATTCTCTAAAAGTAGTTTATTTATAGTTTCCAGAGGATTTGTCATTTCTCCATCCAGCTCTGGGGCTTCATATGAACTCATTTAACACCAGGGGATTGCCCTAAGTCTTTACCTAGAATTTTAATATTTTGCTCTTTCAGGCTAAGACATACTTGGTTTCCATTTTGCTGTATATATTCTGAGTAAAGAAAACAACTTTTTCAGAAAGTTTGAGTGTTCACATCTGTGTTCCTTCAGGGGGATCACTGTATCTCAGCTGTAACTTCACCATCTATTTACCTAATAAATGCCTTGGAATCATTTTGAGAAATCTATAGGATCTTTTTCAACCAGTGCTGCAGCTCTGCTGAGAGCAGGTCCTGACCAGGCTCAGGGAATCTGCAAGCCAGGGAAAGGAAAAAAAGCAAAGAGGAATATGTTCATGTCAGAATTTTGGTAACTGCTGTAACAGCTCTCATCTCACTGCTGCCTGTGTCTCGAGGACTGCCAGGACCAGTCATTCCTCTAATCCCTTAAATCAGCGCAGTCACTTACGTGTTTGATATGGTGAACTGATTTGTCACTGATTTTCCACAGTCTTATGCACAGAAAGGGAAAGACTTTCCCAGGATGTGCAGCCACAGGATCCTGTAGTTCCCATAAATTCCTACATTTTAATTTTGTTACAGTTCCTGGTACCATCCCTCAACTCCAAGCAGGCTGACAAAGGCACTGAGACTGGTTAGAGAGCTTTCATTAGATTTGCTATTGCATTCAAAGACATGATCTCTCTGTGTCCTTAAAAACTCTTTATGGGGAACAACATTTTACTGGAGCCTGAAGACAAGATGAATGCTCCTCTGCAGGAAGGATTGTTCTGGGGCCATGTGTCACATAGGCATGCACACCAGCCCCTCTGGCCACACAGAGGAAGATGAAAGAGAGTGAAGCAGAGTAAAATAACATCATGATAATCTCAACTCAGTGCTAAGCTGTAATAGTAAAATAAGAATTAATTCATTATTATAATATGACTTCCTTTCTGGACTTTTCCTGTATATCAAGGTGGTGTTTTCTTCTATGGTAGTGACACTACTTTGCTTTTTTATGCAGTTAAGTAGTAAATAGGGCAGGCTTCAGTTGTAGACTAGAGGTTATTTTAAACTCTGGTATAGAGTAACAATTTACTATGGCTACAATGAATGAAGTATGTCCATTAGACTTGGTACATTAAATCTGGAAGTGGGAGAATTGCTGGCCTGGCACCTTATGCCACTTTGCTGTTCCCTCTCCATGGAAACAAAAATCAGGATTGACCTACGCAAACAAAGCTGCTCGCCCTAAACAGAACAGAGCTCAAGTAGTGAGGCAGTGAGGCCAATTAGCTTTCAGTGCAGTTTACAGCAAAGAAGGGTGGGTTGCCATTATAAATGTCTACAAATAGGACAGAATAGCAAATGCAAGCTTGTCATTGAAGTCAAATCAGAGTAATAATAAAGTAACAAAATGACATGTTCTTTATATCCACAAATATAGGTATACGCATGCACCTATCTGCATTCTTGTTAAATCCTTGCTTAATAGATGTACATGCACACGTCTTCTTAGAAGTATCTCAAAAGCTGCTTTTATTGTCATAATGAAACAGTTAGACTCCTTTGAGAGCTATTTGTCTGCAAAACTACTGTAAACTTCTTTTGAGTAGGCTGTCTGCACTCCAGAGAGTTAAATCAGTAGAACTTTGACGAGACTAGAAGACCCACTAATATCTAATTAATGTGGAAATAATTGTTGTAATGGTTTCATTTCTCTACAAAGCATGTACTGAAAAACAGTTACACAATTTAGTGAGCATTAAATCAGTTTGATATGCAAATGGAGGTATGGACTACTTCATAATGCTGGTATTATTTAAACATTTGTTTATTAAGATGAGAAAATTAGAAATGTCAACAAATGGGATCCAAAAGCAAAGAAATGCCTTTTATCAAGAGAGACTTTCTTCGAAGTTTTTACTCTGCCCGTTTTAGAGTCAGTAGGCTCTAATGACAAGAGTAACAGCAATACTAAATGTGAAGGTACTGCTGGGAGTAAAGTGTGAAACACTTGTTCCTACACCTGGCACGTTCTGCTGCTTTTCCTCCAGTAGGAATAAAAGGGAGCAATTGTAGTGCTCTCCAGATTACCCCTGAGCTCTCATCTTTTTGCTGTTAAGGGGTCATGGAAACAACTTAAATTGTCTTTATCCATTTAATGTAGATTCAATTAACTCAGGTTAATGACTATGGGATGGAGCTAAGGGAGTTGAGAGTTTCTCTCATTGTTCAACCTGGCTTGTCCTGTGACATGAGCTGCATTTTTGGGTGGAGAAAAAGAGTAAAAGCCAGTGTGTTGCCAGGACATGACCAAACAGAGCCTGCAGAGAAGTGTAACCAATGCCATTCAGGTGTGTGCAAAGCTCATGGCTGCATCCAGTTACAGAAGTACAACACACAGTTGACCAAATCACACAAAATGAATGCTGCTTATCTGTTTGCTAAACATTTACTCTTAAACTTAGTACAATTAACACAAAGTCTTTGGGGATAATACATTGTGATCTGTTAAGATGATCTGTTAAGTATTTTACCCGGGATGTATCTTCATCTTCCC